TTAAATCCGGATGCCGATACACTTTATTTATGAATTTGATTAAAATATAAGAGCTATGATTCGATTTTGAATCACATTGATTTAATTTTTGACACTTTATGCGATCATCAATCTCTTTCGTGGAAAGAAGCTGCAATTTTTTAATATAGGAATGATTAAATTTAATATAATTTTAGATCCTCTGAACAATATTTCCGCCTTTACGATAGATATCATAAATATTCAGTCGCTAACAACCCATAATGTTGCAGATAATGTAAAGTAAAATCATAATTTTCTTGTGATTAAGTCAAAATTTGCAGCGGTAAATATTATAAAAATTATATGATGTCAAAAGATTTAAAAAAAAAACTAACAAATAGTAGTCATATAAGAATGAGTTTATTATATATCCAATGTCCACCAACAAACAAAGATCATAAATCAAGATTTTCAGTTTGAAATTCGAAATAAAATCCAAAATTTCACATTATTATAAGACATCCTAGGAGGTCTACATTTTCAAACTATGAATTTCCAGCCACATCGTGTCTTATTTTACGTTGAAATAGCTATATTGTTCTCCCTTAGTATCTATCGCGTTTTATTGTGTTCGTGTCGTGATCGTACTTTCAATTCTAAACACAAATAGGTTGTTAGATCACGGTTACGAGTGATTTTGGGTACTTTAAGGCCGAACAAAAAAGACTAAGACTATATTTGGTAAAATTAACTGATAAGTTAGCTGATAGCTGATAAGCTACCTTATATAGCTTATCAGTCATTTCTGAGCTTATAGCTTATCAGTCATTTCTGAACTTATAGCTTATCGCTTATGACTTATAATTAAAAAACTAGTTTTTATGATAAGAATGTTTGGTAAAATTAGCTGATAAACTACCTGAAATAAAATTTCGACGAGCTTTTGTTTATTTGAAAAGCTACCCAAAAAAGCTTATGAAAATAAACTCGAGCTTTAAAAAAAAAAGCTCGTCTTACCAAACGAATCTTATTTTAAATACAAGTTGAAGCTTGTAAGCTAACAAAATAAGCTGTAAACTAGTATATTTGTCTACCAAACATAACCTAAGATGTGGATACCTTTCAATAAAAATAACTAAAAATTAAAAAAGTGATAACAATTAGAGATCCATCCAACATGAAAGTTTCATCTATAGGTACAGAGTGAAGCAAGAATATTACAAAAAAGGGCAAAAAAAAAAAAACACGCACACACACACACACACACACACATGATGGCAATGATCACATTTTACTAGCAACACATATTTTGATCAAACCTTTCTTTTATTGGACTAAATCAATTCAAATATTACCACCACTATAAGCATTCAAAGAGGCCAACATCCCCAGATTCGTTTCACCAACACCTAGGCCCAGCTGCTGAACCGGGTTCTGCTGCTGCTGCTGTTGGACCACCAACGACCCGAACTGGATCGGGCTGAACAAGCCCGAGCCACTTACTCTCTGCATTTGGGCCGCCCTGTAGAGCCACTCCTGCTGCGCCGGCAGCATCCGGGCCAGAGCCCACACGGCCGGGCCTGGGCTCAAGCCCGAACCCTGCTCTTGGGCCCGGGCCCGGACGATCCTACCAGGCTCGGGCGAACCTGCGTCGTCCTCCTCCCGGTGGTCCCGTTTTCCAAGGAGGCGAGGCTCGTTCTGGCCCGGCCCGAGGAGCGGCGGGCTGGGCCTCGCGTGCGGGGCCCACAGGGTGCCGGCGCCTCGGAGGGAGGTGCTGAGGGTGGAGAAGTTGGCCGGGACGGTGCCGGTGCCGGTGGCGGCGATGATGGCGGGCTCGGCGTGGTGGAGGAGCCACTCGATGGTCTCGCCGTCCGACCGGTGGCCGAGCTCCCGAGTGAGCTGGAAGACGCGGGCCGCGCAGAGGGCCGGCATGCGGATGCGCCGTCCCCGACCGTCGACCTTCGTGTGCCGGTCCTTGGACTGTTTCTTGGCGGGGTCGGGCTTGTTTGGTGGGCTGGATTGCTTGTGGGGTTTAATTGGCTCCATGGATGAATAATAGTGTGTGTGTGTGTTTGTTTGTGTGTGTGTGTGTGTATGTGTGTTTTCAAGAACTTGAAAGCATTGTAGAGTGGGTTTGTGTGAAAAATAAGGAATCCCTCACCCCCCACCCGTGGGGTCTTTTTATAAAAATAGTAAGGGAATAAAAGTAAAAGTACGGTTTTAGGTGGGCTCAAAGAATTTGTTAAGTTTATTATGTCTTTATTATACAGTCAATGCAGGTACTATTAATTATCTTCACACCTGATTGGATAATTGAGACTATTAGTTTATTGTGGGCCGAGGGTAAATTATAGAGGTTTTGATCAGTTGAAATCTTTAAGCAGTTATAAATAATTTTTGGGATATAGGAATTTTTTGGGAAATAGATGATTGCAATTTTAATTATTTTGCATATTAAAACAACTAAATATATATTTAGTTCGCCATATCTATATCTATATAATTGCTAGCAAAACAATTAATAAAACTCTTTTTTGGTTTCCCTCTATTTTCCGTTACTTTTGCATTAATCAAAAAATTATGTTTTTATATTTATTTTGTTATATAATTGTTACAATTAAATAATCATTAAGCAAGTTTATTTTACTAAAATTAGTTAAATTTTTTTTTTTGGCATATCAAGCCATTTAAAATTCGTACACAATTTTTATAATAATAATTTTAGTATTGTTTTATCCAATTAATTGGTGATATTCAGTCAAAATCGCATCAGTATAACGATTAATATATAAGTTAATTAGTTTATATTTATATTGTTATTAATGATAAATTATATAAAATGTGATATGCTCATTATCTGACTAATGATTTTAAATATTACATAAACACACATCTAATCTAATATTTTATAATATTTGTACATGTGCACATGATGGAATGTTAGTCAACTAGTTAAAACTATTAGCTTAATAGCTATTAGTCAATTGATATGACTATTATAAGTTATTTGCTGAGTGCAGTCACATGCCCAAGGAGATTATTTTCTAGGGAAAAAAAATTTACCAACATGAACTTTAGGGTTTTTATGGGTTTGCAATTTGAACTTTTATTTTTGATAAATGCAATCTCAACTATACGTAATTGATAGTTACCAATCTCGGCCACCGAAATTGACCGAAAAACTCCTTAAGCAACGGAGCTGGCAACTTTTGTAAGGGTAAATATGTAATCTTGTCTCATATCATATAAAAATATGATTCTCCCCAATTTTTTCAATCCACTCTTCCGATTTCTCCAATTTCAGAACCCTAACCCTTATTTAAGCAAACGGAGTGGAGCTAGACATTTGAGCATACCGTGGAAATATTTTGCTGTTGCAGAAAAAATGTGGTGACGAGGACATCGTGGACTGACCTTAATCCTGGAAGAAAATATGTATCGTGTGCAAAATACCGGGTATGCTCTTCAATTTTGAAAACATAATTTTCAGTTTAAATGTGGCAGAATTCGATATGAATTTTGTTGAACATGCGTAAATGTGGCATTCTGATATGCAGGAGG